GGACGAAGATAGCTGAGATGGAGAAGTTTCAGCTTCCGAGCTTGATTGGCATAAACGGTCCAAGTCTACGTTCCCTAAATCAGTGTCATAAGAACGACGGCCTTGTTCATTTTCAGTTTTGTGGACAGCTGGATGCCACGACGGTTCCATACGCAGACCGACAAACGACCCCGACGCGAAAAGTGACCTAAGCATATTCAAACAACTCTGCCAAATTTGTGGTCCGTTAAAATACTCCGGTATATGCATCCCCAGTTTGCCACAACTTAGGCAAGCCCACATGCAAGTCAACACTGCCCTCTTCTCCTGCCACGAACGAAATATCCTGTCGAATGTGCTCTATTGCGATAATTTAGATTTTCAGGGTCTACATCGCTTGTGACAACTGTGAAGAATGAAATCACACAGATTTATCGCTATGAAGCCTGAAGCTGCTGCCAACGACGAAGGCGCCTACATTTGTCCACCCTGCATTTTAAAACAGTCACAAGACCAAACACCCAAGGCAGACGGTGTCCTCTTCGCCAATCGATCTCCCTCCTCTGCTGTGGACGATGCTGTTAATGGTGGTGGCGGTGGTCTTCGTCGTACGTTAAAAACAATCTACGAGAACTGAGTTGAACGGTCGGCTCTCCGATGCTATTTCTCAGCTTCTGTCTGATCTCAAGGTCCGTTTTTTTGCTGCTTTCCCGTTGTTTCAGCTACCAGACAGTCCGATTTCCCGCTGTACTGTCCTGGACAGTTCCTCCATTTTGCATGGAAAATACTTACGTCCTGCACTTTTTTCTCTCCTCTTTTACTCGCTCAAGTTATCATGGCCATTCATGAAACCTCCGCCAACTTCGGTCCTTGAGAAAATAGGCCGCAACTGAAAGAACCAATTCTTAAGCTAGATTTTATGTGTTGGTGTCTACTTAATAAATGCGAGTGGTTGTTTTTGGTTCCATCCACGTTGTTTTGGTGTCATATCTCGGACCCCTCTTAACACGTCTGTCTCTTAAGGAGCGTACAGATCTTCCTCACCTTATTGCCGACCTCAAGGTTGGCACTTACGACTCCTTGGGGGACTGCTCGTTTGCCGGTAATCAGTTCTTCTTCAGTGCCCACCTCCTGCAGCCCAAAGATACCAACGAGTTCTACTGCACGGAAGTGCTAGACGCCTTCTTTCTGCATCGAATGAAGAAAATTCGTGGCCTCGTAAGTCACTGAAAACAAATGGCGGCGGCGATATCGGAAACTGACGCCCACTTCTCGCGCCTTTGTAAACCTATTACCAGCCACGTTGCTTATATTTAACAAAAAGCTCTTTTCAGCCCCAGTCTTGTTCGTTGTAAAATGTCTCCGACATTTTTAATCGCTTTTAATAATGCTGCGCCGTTGACATTTTATACTACATGGATTAATTGTATACTTGCAATACCACCTCCTTGGAGGCAGCTTCGGTTTCTCCCCCCCCAATTCCCCACGAGGTCCAACTGGAATCTTTGCCATCAACTGTTTTATGGTACGCTTGACGGACTTTTGAAAAACATAGGGCTTTTTTTATTAGTGTCTGGGCTTGTTGTAAGTGCTTTTACTGAGCATGGAGAAGAGGGACTGCGTAGGGCAACTGAATTTTCGGCGGAAGCTGAAGAGCCAAAGTTGAGGAGCATTGGTCTTCGCGAAGGTCAGAATCAGTAGTATCGAAAACATCATCATCTTTGAGAAGAAGAAGACTCGATCGCTGGGACAATATGTTTATTCGCCTGA